GGCAGCGCCGAGCTGGCAGCTGCCGCTGGAAACTCGTCTGCTTTTCCTCCTTTTATTTTCATTTTTTTTTCCCTTTCCCCGTTGTTATCAATGGGCTTAGTAGACAAGGTGTGTCATCCTAGAGCGAGACAGACCACCACAGCGCAGTGAATCAGAAGAGCGTGCCTTCCGGGTGGTAAGGAAGAGGTTGCCACGCATGAGTCCTTGGACTGCTGCTGCAGGAACGTTATGTTTTTGGTGGGTTGCAACCCTCCAGATACAGTGAGCCAAATCATGCCTGCCTCTACCCAGGTGCTTTCATAATCAGCTTTTAGCAGAACATGGCCTTGAACAAACTAGTTTTTGTTGTGGTTTTTATTGCACTATACAATCAACTTTGGCTTCCAGTTCAGAAGTGAGCCTGAATTCTGCCCTGGCGTTTCGTGAGCAGCGTTAGTCAGCGGGGGAAAATCAGCTGTGAGCATCAGCACGTGCACAAGCCGGGCTGCACTGGCAAAACTGTCAGTAGCTGAAAAGAAATCTGCCAGTCACTTTGGTCGAGGAGCCAAAATCAGTCCAGTGTGTTGGCTAGTTGCATTGCTCCTTGTTTGCGCTCTGTTTACAGTAGTGGCCGTAATTAGCTACGCTAATGCAGTGAGCCTGTGGGGGGGGGGTGGAGGACTTCTGTCCCGCTTACAGCTGAGTTAGGTGACAGGCAATGGCCATGAAGCACCCTCATGTCCTGGGGGGATGTGGGGTAGCTATGCTAACAGGTCTCCTGTAGCATGTCTCCTTAAGATGACTCTACCAACAGTAACTATGTGTAATGTACCTCTGTCATTTGCAAGGCTAATAGCTCGTTATTTTACATAATACATTACTGACATAAAAGCTCCTAAAGTTCCTGTAGGTGTAGGTCAAATTGCTTGTTATATTCCAAAAACATCTACTTCTGTCCTTGTTCCACAGGGGTAAGGACTTTATCCTACTCCCTTTAACATCCTTATCCGCTGCAGAGATGCCACTGACCTTCCGTCCAAGTGGAGAAAGTGTTATGTTAATTACACTAAGTTAGTGCAATCAAGTCGCACTCAGCATCTGCATTTATTTTAAAGATTTGTTGCTTCTGCTTTAGACCCAGCAAGGAGCTTGTGTTTCCAAAGGCTTGCTAGTTTTTTTTTTTCTTGGAGCACATGAAACTTAATAGTATTGTTCTCTGAAAAACCTTGTTTTGCTTATTTCTTCAGCAGCTTCTACAGTTGTGACAGTCTACTGCAGAAAATTAGTTCTAGAAAACTACTACTCTTGGTGTATTTTCCATTTCTTACCAGTTTTACTGTCTCTTATCCGTGTCAGAATCTAAGCATGCACTCTATATTCCATTTTAAAGGGAAGTAAGAACAGAAAACATTTACCATCTTCATAAGGAAGAACTTGTTCCTCTTCCCCCTTTGGTTTTGGTAAACGTTTTTCTGTTAGCAGAATAGTTTTAAGGTTTCCTCATGTTGCTGTCAGAAGGTTTTCTGAAATGATTTGTTCTTTTTTAGTAGCTGCCCGTTCCGTTATAGAAGTGGGGTTGCTTACCATGTACCAACATCTAAGGCTAGTCACATTATGTGTACATGCATGTGCTAAACTTCACGAACTTTGCTCACTGTAGCAGGGATCCACATAGCTTATCTCTTGGCACTTATCGAACATAATTGCCAGTGTGTACATAGATAGCAATGTTAACTAAGAGATGTGATTGAATTAGGCATGTAGTGCTAAAGGTTGAAGTGTAAACTCCAGCGTGCTGTACCTTTAGCTGAGAAGGAAGATATTAATCCTTTATATCTTTAGTCAGAGACTAAAACCTGCTTTGATTAAGGCTGTGTTTTTTGCCTAACATTCATATACTGTGGAATAGGTAGTGTTCTTCCAGTGACTTAAATACCTGCTCAGTGTCAGACCTACTGCGATGAACGCAGGTTGCAAAGTTAAATGATGCATGAGATGGTATGATTCAAGCCCATAATGTTTGTTTAATGCAGGGTGGTGAAGAGAGAGAAGTAAGCTGCTTTACAGTATTTGTAAACAAAACACTTTGAAGGAGAGCCTGCTTTTGCAATTGAACCGTAATGATAGTATTGATAATTGAAAAGCTAGTTGGTGACGACCAGTAATTTACCCAATGTATTTTGGAGTCTTATAAAAACATATTGTATTCTGAAGCTTCCTAGCTTCCTAAACTGACAGTTTTTAAACAAGGTTGTCACTGTGCCTTGATCTGCATATGATTCCTTGATAACAAGGACTCACTGCAAGCAAAAAATTGTGGCCTTAAAGAATTTTTTTTTTTCCCCTGAGCTTAAGTAATTGCCTAAACTATTAGTTTATGAGCAGCAGAGTTGGTTGATGCCATCAGTTCTGATCTGGAATTGCTATGCATTTCTGCTTTAGATGCTTAAGGTGTAACGCTTAATCTTTTTTTAAGAGATGTCCGTGCTCTGTCAGAGCAGAGGTGGAAACTTATTATGCCAGTTAGGGGTGGGAAATTTTTAAAGCAGATGAGTGCAGGTTTTGCATGCCTCTGTCAAATTGTAAATGAATAGTGTGCTGTATTCTGAAGGAGTGGGAATATCCTGCGGGTGAAATGATATGGCAAAAAAAGCAAATGGGCCAGACATGCAGATGCAAGTCCATGTGTGTTTTGAAACACTTAACACTTAGAAGCAGGATAGAGAGAACATGTAGACTGGATCTGAAAATGTTTTTCAGTTCTAAAATACTAATGTTTGCATTGTCTCTCTTTATGGTTTATTCTGTCTGGTAAATGTTTTCCGTTATCAGGTATCTGAGGAAATAGCCTCAAGATGAACTTCTTCCTGGAGATGCTCCAAGTTATCGGACTTTCATTTTATTACCTGTTGGAGTCACTAGTGTTTTTGATTGTGCCTAAACGGAAGAAGAGCGTTGAAGGTGAAATAGTATTAATAACAGGAGCAGGAAGTGGAATCGGAAGACTTCTGTCTATAAAATTTGCCCGCCTTGGAGCCACACTGGTTCTTTGGGACATTAATCAAGAGGGGCTCAAGGAAACGAGTAGACTGGCCAAAGAAAATGGAGCAGTAAGGGTACAGTCTTACATCTGTGACTGTAGCAAAAGGCAGGAAGTCCACAGAGCAGCAGATCAGGTAAAATACTTCATCTGTGGCTTTGATACTGTTCTAAAATATACGTGAGCATGCGTGTGTGTATGATGTGTGACGAGTTTTAGACACTTCAAAGTAAGAGATTAAAGTTAATGGGTTCTGAATTTATTGCATAGGCTACCTATTTTAAGCCTGTTGTTTTCTAGAGTTTACTTTCATACCTCTGTTCCCTTAAAAGAAAAAAAAAGGTTATCTTTCTTTTTTTGTTTTTAGTAATTCCGACTGATTAGCTTCACTGATTAGCTCAGTTACTGAGCAAGCACTTGGTGAAGTGCAGAAAGTCAATTTATTGAAGCTAATGAAGTAGTTCAAGTTCTGGCAACCTTCTATAAAAAAAGTAAACTACAGGGCTACAAACTACTAGGGCTACAAAGATGAATAGAGGGCTGGAGCACCTCTCCTATGAAGAAAGACTGCAAGAGCTGGGCCTGTTCAGCCTGGAGAAGAGAAGACTGAGAGGGGATCTCATAAACATGTACAAGTATCTGAAGGGGGAGTGTCAAGAGGATGAGACCAGCCTCTTCTCCGTGGTGCCCAGCAACAGGACAAGAGGCAACGGGCAGAAACTGAACCACAGGAAGTTCCATCTGAACCTGAGGAAAAACTTCTTCACTGTGAGGGTGACAGAGCACTGGAGCAGGTTGCCCAGAGAGGTGGTGGAGTCTCCTTCGCTGGAGCTATTCAAAACCTGTCTGGATGTGATCCTGGGCAATATGCTCTAGGTGACCCTGCTTGAGCAGGGAGGTTGGACTAGATGATCTCCAGAGGTCCCTTCCAACCTAAACAGTTCTGTGATTCTGTAAACCATAAAGCCATACCTCATAAAAAGGATTAATCACTTAGGCAAATTTAGGCTAACTGCATCACTGAATTTTGTAGATGCACTTTGACAGAATTAATAAGTATCTCTTGAAAGCTTAAATATTTCTTAGTTTCCTTTTTGAAGTGCTTTAGAAATAAGGCATATAGTTAGATATTTTGGGCGGACTAGTAGATATGCCAAAAGCTAAAATCACTCAACAATTTCCATTATAACAACCTGTTCTCATTTGCTTAAAATATTGCTAAACTTAACTGTTGGACTAGAATGTTTCCACAGCGAGTGTTTGCCTCAGGATGAATTCTTTTTTTCTTTAAAGAAAAAACTTCAGATGTCTTTAGGAACGTCTATGGACTGAAATAATGTTTCTATTCTGTCCTATTCAGCACTGTCCAAGAAGGTCTAGCGCTCTGCATTTTTTCTGTCTATATGAGAATGATGGTAAAACAAACTTTCTGACAGGGGAAGCTCACGTATGATCTGCAGCTTGTTCGAGGCTGCTGCTCTAGTTCTTGGATTCTGATAGTGCTAATCTGCCTTGCAGCTCCTTTATGCTGGTTCAGTTAAAACATCTTCTAGCGCAGTGGAGCAGCTATATATGTTTCAT